GGTGGCGGTATGGAGAGGCTGCGGAGTTGCTTCCCTCCGCCGACAGCATGGGGCAGCACCGGACCTCAGGACCTTTCTGGATTTGGCTGGATTTGGAATTTGCTCCTTTGTTTCAGCCTCTTTCTTTCATTTATTCTTTTTTCTTTCAGGCAAACAGCACACCACCACAATGCCAGAGCCGTAAGTAGCACGAGTTTCCCTCAGGTTTTGGTGACGCCTGCCCAGCTGCTGGGCTGCTCTTACTGGAGCTGATCCTCTGGTCCTTATTGAGAGAGGGTTCAGTTTGGAGACTGTTCTGTGCTCAGAATCTCTGTGCCATTCCCCATGCAAAAACTACCTTTAAATAAAACTTCTCAGCGATTCCAATGTCCCAGTTCAAACCTCGGAGCTTTCCTAGATGCTAAGACAGGGATCCGACGTGGGCAGCACCGCTCGCTTTGCCGGGAGGCTCTTTTCAGTGCATCCCACAAATAGAACGTACTCCCTGTCTGGCTTTCGTCGAGCAGCGGCACAGAGAGGCCCCAGCCCCGCCGAGCCGAGTGGGATCTGAGCACGCTGTGTGCCAGCCCCCCGTGCCTGGGCAGCACGTGAATTGGGGTGTTTTGGCCCAAACCGCAGGGACTGAGCTGGGGCTGGCAGGATGGGCACCGGGATGGCTCGTTGGAGAGGCATCTTGCCTTTCCGAATGCCCACTGCACTGCCAGAGAGCACCGTCGTCTCTGACCTGCCTGGCTTGGCAACTGTTGGGTACAGAAACAGGGAAACAGGGGATGCTTTTCTTGACTGTCACCTCTTTTTGACTCTCATGCACTGATGCCCTGTGCTCTCCTCTTGTTCCTTTTGCTCCTCGCTGAACGCACGCCTGCCTGCAGGGAGGTGAGTGCCTTCCCTTTCGGGAGCGATCTCGATGTTATTCTGCGTTTGCTGTGAGTTTGTTTTCACGGGTGGTTTGGTTTTTTTTCTCCCCTTTCCCCTAGAGAAAATCCAAGATCACAGCCTCACGCAAACTCTTGTTGAAGGTGAGTCCTGAGGGTTGGAAACTCCCTGGGGTTTGTCTTGCTGGGGCAAAGGAGCCAGGGTTGAAGCGTGTGGTCGGTGGGACAGCGATGAGGAAGAGTAGAAGTATGGGCCTTGGGGAACTGCTCCCATTCCCACCTTTCGTCTCCTCAAAACCCCTCACTCATGTGGGCTTCGTGGTCCATGCCCCAAACAAACCTCCCCTTCACTTGACTGAGGTGGGGAGAGACTCCGACGCCTTCAGCTCTGAAGACACAGACCTCGTGTTTGTGCCCCAGCAGCTCTGCAGCACAAGCTTGGGAGCTCCCTGGATTTTGGCTTGGGAGGATCATTTACAGAGCAAAGCAATGCAGATAAAATGCTGTCGTCAGCCTCCTCTGGGACCACCGCGGCCCCGTGGTAACTCCAGCTGTGCTGTTCCCCTGCCTTCAGGGCCACCACACAAAAGCTGTAGGGATTTTTTTGATGTGTGTTGCAGCAGCTCAGTGATTTTGGGAGGACAGGTGGAGCAGGAGGGAGGTTTCAGAGCCAGACAGGATCGTCCCAGCCTACAGATGTTGCATGAGGAGGCTTGGAGGGGAACGGAGGAGCCTCTTCACACTTCTGCCATTTGCTTGCGCTCGTAGAGTTTGATGCTGGCAAAAGCAAAGGAGGAGTGGGATCAGGAGATCGTGGACAAGCAGTCAGAGAAGGAAAGATACCTGTCAGAGCGGATCACCCCGCTGCGCACCAGTGGGCTCTCCTTGAGCCAGCTCCAGGTATTCTCATGTCCGAGGGTGAAGCGAGCTCCTTGGGAACAGGGAGGAGCATCACTCACCGCTCCCCTCTTGTGCTTGGCCCCCAGGACCTGTGCAGAGAGCTGCACGAGAAGGTTGAAATCGTGGATGAAGAGAGATATGACATCGAAGCAAAGTGCAACCATAACACTCGGGAGGTAGGAGGCAGGACGAGCTGTTTGCTTCTACGTTAACTCCCCCCCTGATGGCAGCTTGGGCCTCGATGGGGGTCAGACATGGGTTGGGCTGAGCTCAGATGTGGGACATGCACCAGGGTTATCTAAGGGTTGGTATTTGCTCTGCAAGGCATCGCTCAACACAAGGTTCATCCCTGTGTCAAGGGTGTCCACTAGGTCTACAGGCAACCTCCTCGCTCTCTTAGTCATCCCTCGTGGGTCTGAGAGCTCCTTCTTGTGGTACAGCTGCTCTCTGAGCGGGCTGGGACAAGGCAATGGCAACAGCTCTGTGCTCAGGTGGACAGTGAAGGTGGTGAAGGTGGTGAAAGTGGTGAAGGTGGTGAAGGTGGTGAAGGTGGTGAAGGTGGTGAAGTTGGTCCTCATAGCTGCAGGAGAGGCACAGACCCCTCTGGGGCTCAGTGTTGGCAGAGACTCCTGCTTCACACAGGAGCTTTTTGTGCCAGGCAGCCGTGCGATGGCCTCCCACTCCTCCTTTCCTCCACCTGCAGATTAAAGATCTGAAAATCAAAGTGCTTGATCTCCGAGGAAAGTTCAAGCGACCCCCCCTGCGGCGAGTCCGCGTCTCTGCCGACGCTATGCTGAGGGCTCTGCTGGGCTCCAAGCACAAGGTGTCCATGGATCTGAGAGCCAACCTGAAGTCTGTCAAGAAGGAGGACACGGAGAAGGTGGGTAACTCTTCCAAAGCCCAGAGATGGAGACACTTCCTAGGGAGGCGCTTGCCCTTCTCCAAGGTCCTCTGTGAAGCCCATGTGGGTTGTGCTCATCCCTTGTAAGCCTCTTGTGGGGCTCTACCCACGGCAGGAGTTTGTAGGACCGCATGGGAGCAGTTTGTCTGGGTCAGGTAAATGGTCGATGACAACAAGTGAGATTTAGGGCTGCATCCATGACTCTCCTCCCTCCCAGACCATGTGCGGGTCTTTCAGCAGGTGCCCCCTTGGCACGTCTGCTGAGCTGCACTTACAGAGAGCTTGGTCTTTGGTCTTCTAGGGAGCCAGGAGAGCTCCTGTTTGGTGCAATTACACCCAGAAAACACCCAGGAAACTCCCAGACCCAGATTAGATAACACACCGCCAGGCCAGCAAGCACATTTGGCTTGAGATAACCAGCCCAGTTCACATCAGCTTTGCAGAGACGTGAGCGGGGAAAGTCTCACTACCAGGGATGCCCAAAGCTGCCCAGGGTGTGCAGGCACCCAATGGCAATTGTGCTGCTTTTCCAGGGCCTCTCCCCAGAGGGGTTTTACCCTTTGGTACCAGCTCAGCAGATTGGATGAGAAGCTCAATCTTGAATTATTTTTCCTTTTTTCTTCCCCTTGTTGCTGGTATAGCACTTTTTCAGTCCTTTGCCTAGAGAGCTGTGTTTACAGTCCTCGACGCCAGGCGGTGAACAGACCTGAGTTTATTCTAGATGTCGTGCGACGATTTTGGGGCATGGCATGTAATCTGTGAGCGTGTGTGGGTTGGCAGAGCAGACACCTGGGCATGCTCCCAGAGGTGCCGTCATCTCCCCTTTCTGTTCTGGCAGCGGCTGCCAGGCTCTCACTGTCACGCCAGCGATCCCAGACCCCTTCAAAAGTTCAGAGAAGGTGGAGACAGGTTTTAAGTGGGCTGGGAGGTCTGTGCAGAATGTGATTTTTGCTTGCATTTGCCCTGGTGTGCTGGTGCACACCCAGAGTAAGTCCCGTGCTCTGGTCTCCTCCTCCTAAAGAAATTTTCTGGGATTTTTATGCCTTCTAATGCATTAATGCAGCTTGGCCAGGCTTTGTGGAGGGCATCCACCCCAATCCAGCCCTCCCGGTGGAGATCCAACAGCTGTTTGCCACCTCCCCGGTCAGCTCCCTGTGCAGAGACACACGGCAGAGCTGGCTCTGAGGGACGCGACGTTTGCAACGGGGCAGCTGCATTTCCCCGAGGGCTCTGCGCAGTGGGATGGGACAGCGTGGGGCTGTGGGCTGCCCCCTCAGACAGCCACTGTGACCCCCTACTCCCCATCCCTCCCGGCAGGAGCGCCCCGTGGAGGTGGGTGACTGGCGCAAGAACGTTGAAGCCATGTCCGGGATGGAGGGAAGAAAGAAGATGTTCGACGCTGCCAAGTCCCCCACGGGCCAGTGAAAGGTAGGGGACCGGTCCTCTCACCCCTGCCTTTCCCCATGCTCCCTGCAGCATCCCTCATCTGTGCCTGTGGCTGGGCCAACAGAGAAATCGCCTCCTCCTTTACAGAAAAAGGCATCGAACGCCTTGTCTCCCACCCCACACCTGGGCTGGGTGCCTTTCCCTGCCATGGAGCCCTTGCCAACAGCTATCCTCCTCTCCCACCTCGTCCTCCCTGGCTCCTTGGGGTCTGCTGCCCACACCACACTCATCCTGCACAGCCTGGGCGTTGCTGGTGCCAACTTCAGCCTGAAAAATCCTCTTCTGCCTCACTGCTCTGTTTTTTTATCCCACAGGAGCATCAGGAAGAAGAGCCTCCCCACCCCTGCTGCCTGCCCCTCCTGCACTGCCCCTCTGTGCTCTCTACACCCTTACCCTGAGCTCACCACTGAGCTGAAACACATCGATAACTAAGTGGGAAGGAGACCTGAGCTTCTTTCCCTCAGCATCGCTGTCAGCCCTGCTCCCGCATGGCCCCAGCTTTTTTATCCCACAGGAGCATCAGGAAGAAGAGCCTCCCCACCCCTGCTGCCTGCCCCTCCTGCACTGCCCCTCTGTGCTCTCTACACCCTTACCCTGAGCTCACCACTGAGCTGAAACACATCGATAACTAAGTGGGAAGGAGACCTGAGCTTCTTTCCCTCAGCATCGCTGTCAGCCCTGCTCCCGCATGGCCCCAGCACAGCGGCTTACCCGCATCTCCAAGGGGCCACTGGCCATCCCTCCCCTCCCAAGACCCTGGGGACGGCTGCTGGTCCTCCCACTCCCCCACCCTCCAGCGGGTGCAGCCTGAGGTGTACCTGTACGACTGCATGCCTATTAAAGAACTGTCTCCTGGGCAGAGCGCCGCGTGGGCTTGTTGCTGGGGCTATTGGCCAAGGACGGGTGCTGGTCCACAGCCCGGTGGGGACGATATCCTGGCCCTTTCCTTCCACCTTGCAATATCCCAGTGCTGGTGCTCAGGCTAGCAGCAGGCCCTGGGACCAGATCTGCTTTGGGGTCATCTTTTCCAGGCCTTCAGGCTGCTCCCTGGTGCCCTGCCAGCTTGGCTGAGACCCCCTGGCCCCATGCACAGGCCATCCCTCCCACGCGCCACAGCCTGAGGTGAATCCATTTTTCAGGCCAAACAACTCGCGCTTCCCCACTAATCCCATTATTTCCTATGTCACAACTCCCCAAACTGGAGGTGGTTGGGTGGAAGAAGCTGGGAATGTTCCAGCTCACTCCCAGAGCAGGGCTGGAGGGGAGAATTCGTGAGAGTTTGCACCACGTTGGGTCTCCTGGTTGCACTTGCAGGAGGTGCTGAGGCTCGGTGCTCTCGGTGGTTATAACAGTGCCTTGTCCATGTCCCCGAGGTATCTGGAGGTTTCAAACCTGTGCCACACCGTGGGTGTTTTGCAGCACAGCCCAGGCCCTGTGAAGAGAACTCATAAAGTACGGGAAATGATATAAACTGGGAGCAAAGTGCAAGTCGCCAGACAGGAGCTGGAAAGAAACAGCGTCAAAAAATGTGCCATCTCCCAGAGAGCTTTGTCTTCCCAGAAAACCACTGTGTTTCTTCAGGGACAGATAAAGGTGTCCCCACGCAGTTGGGTCTTGCAGGACTTTCTTGGTGGCCTCGGGTGGCTCAGTGGCTCTTTCTCTCAGGGTCAGCCATCGCAGGGAGGTAGGTTTGGGTTTGGGCTCCAGCCCGGCAGAACGGCCGGCTTGCTCTGGACATCACATCCCCTGCTTCGGCCAGTTCAGGGATACGGAGCCGGACCACTCCCTTTCATCCCTGGGCAAGGAGGGTTAGGGCAGATGACGACTGACAGGAACACTTATTTCTAACGTTGTCATTAGCATTGAGGCTGCCACAGCACCCAGCAGCAACTTCACAGAGAATTTAAGACTCAGTACGAAAACTCTTCCCAAAGCCAGGGTTCCATCAGGGGTGACTGTCAGCTGCAAAACTCGTCTTCACTCCCACAGAGAGAGAAGATGCTCAGTCTTTGCCTTTCTACCTGCCCCTCTACCCTCACCAGCACCGCACTAACTGGGGCCAGGACCACTCCCTACACAACCAGAGCAGTTGCACAACACACAGAGCCTTTTCCACTCTTTATTTTCTTCCTTTCCAAGCTTAATTTGGCTGCAGCCAAGCACGGTGCCAGGACTTGCTGCCCGCCCGTCCTCGCCCTGTGCACCTCAACGGGCTCCCGGCAGGAGCAACCCTGGCAAGAGCCTTGGCCAACCCAAGTGTGTCGCCTCTTGGAGATGATCGGAGACCATGTGTGGTGAGATCCTGTGATGCTGTCACAGCCCAATCTGCCCCACCCCTGGAGGCCAAAAGGTTTCGGTTATGCTCCTGTCCCTCTGAGCTTGCTGCCCGAGCAGGAGCTGAGCCGAGGCAGCGTCCTGGGATCTCGCCGCTCACGCTATCCCCAGAGGGGACTCACACACTCAGTAGCGATCCTGGCAGAGGAAGAAAGGTGTGTAGGGAGAGGTAATAACTGTTACCTGACCAACTGGTATAGCTGGAAAATGCAAGAGAGTCTTCACGGAAACAAAGCCTTCTTCAGACCTGGGACAGAAGCAGAAAACGGCGAGCTAAGTCTGGGTCGAGGACAGTTGCTCTGAGCTTAGCGCAATTATGCTGATCTGGTAATTAAAAAAAAAAAAGGGTGGCATCTGCGGGGAGGGGAGTGGTGGCAGTGAGATGAAAGGTAATATGGGTGACGGCTGCTGTGGGACTGAGCTTTGCTCAGTGCTTGGCAGCCAGACTGCGCCTCATCCTCACGCCCTGCACACCAAGACACCTGAAACCTCTGTAAAACCTCCAGGCTCACCAGCTCCAACAAGAACCAGCCAGGGGGTGCTTTGCAAGGTCCCACAGGCCACAGGCGCTCATGCTGTGGGCTGTAGATGACTTTGTATGGCTGCCTTGCAGTTTAGATTGAGAGAAAAACCCAGCCCCCAAACTCTTCACTCTGCAAGTTCCCCTAATTTTGAAGTACAACGCTCCCCAGTCACCATGTCCCCCTTCAGTTTTTCTCTGGTGAAAAACCACATTGATTGGTCATGGGAAAACAAAGCTTTATGGATTTCAGTTTTATTAGACACATGGAAACCCCCATCTCTTCACAGAGATTGAGTCTCGAGAGAAAAATGAAACCCTCTGCTCTGAGCATGAGGCTCTCCTGATAAGATAGTGGGACTGGGAGCCAAGTCTTCTCCATCTCTGCTCTGGAGCTGCTTCTGTGGCTTTGGGCCAGATGCAAGCCCAGCTCACCCCTTGGCAGAAGGGGCAGGTTGAGCCTTTCACCCCAGGACGCACCTGGCTTTCCTTGTGCCATCCAGCTCTGCAGTCCCACCACTGCTTCCCTCCCAGGTGACAATAAGCATGGGACGGTTTGGGTTGGAAGGGACCTTGAAGATCATCTCATTCTGATCCCCCAGCCATGGGCAGGGACACCTCCCACCACACCAGGTTGCTTCAAGCAATTCATCACCCCAGGAGCTGTCACTGCGGGTCCTGTGTGTCCCTTGCAGTGTAAAATGGGAAGGAATGGGGGAGTTTCTTCCCCATTTTCCCCTCCAGGCTCAGGTCCTGCAGGGATGGAAAGGAAAGGGGCTGGGCTGGGGTACGGCACTTGGCGTGAGCTGGGTACGTCCGTCTTGGCCATCTTCCCTTGCAGAGCCTGAGCCCTCTCACTGCTCACATCAGAGGGGCTTTCTCATTACTCACAACTAATTGCACGTGTTATGAGGAATTCAGTCTGCCACTGAGCTGCTGGCAATGAGTCACACATACTCGAGCTGTGACCTCAAAAGTTTTTACTGACACTACTTTTGGGGCATGTCCATGGTTCTTCATTGTTGGACTTGGGGCATCACAGGAGATGGCATCTACCGAGGAGGCCAATCTGCAGAGGAGAATGGGAAGCTGAAGGACACTACAGCGTCTGTGGGACATCACGATGGCATTTCTGAACTGAAATTTTTCTAAACCATTTCTTAAAAACAAAATTAGAAGTGAAAAAAGGCCTCTGCTAGCTAGGTGCAAGGCAGTTTGGGCAATGGTTGTTGCGTTCCTACAGAAAAGCCTGTGCTCAGGTTTAGTTTTTGAGCAAACACGCCTATCTCAGACACTTTCTGGCTTCCTTCTCACAGTGCTATCATTGTTTTAGTGCACCACATGTGTCTTCCCAGAAGATGAAGGAGTGGAAGGTGGGGAAGGACAGCCCTGGACCAGTGTGGGGATTCAGGGAGAGCTCCATGTGCTGGGGTACCACAGTTTTTTGAATCATTTGCTGGCGGGACCCCCACTACAGTGGTGGGATGGCAGCTGAGGAAAGGGGAAAAAAACCCTTTTTCTGGCAATTGAGCCCCATGCCCCAGCCTGGCTGGGAAGCGTGGGCAGATGATGGCTGCTGACTCTGCTCCACCATGGCGGGGACGAGCCCGGGTTGCCGAGGGAGGAGCTGAGTTGTGGCCAACGCTGGAGGATCGGTATGGGCAAAAAGGGTGGAGGTGGAGGGTTCACCGCTGGGCCCCGGGGCGAGGTGAAGGAATGTCCTAATTAGAGCACAGTTGTGGAAACTGGAAGCTCTCCACTGCCCTGTGGCCAAAGAAACAGGCTCTGCATCGGGATGAGACACAGGACACTGTTCCCAAGGGAAAAAAAAGAACACAAACCACCCTGCTGATACTGGTCTAGCTCCTTAGTGGGTATAAATGTGTGTCTTCTGCTGATCTGCATGAGACGAAGATCTGGCCGCCCCGAGCTCCTTCAAGCAGGTGCAGGTCTGCTGGCAGAGCCCTGGAAAGCCACCCCTGGGCAGAGCCGAGGAGAGGTGCGGATTTAGGCTAGAGCCTTGCCGGCACGCAGCACACTCCCTCAGCCAAGAGCACGTAACTTTCCCCTCCTGGTTGTAGATCTGGGACAGCAGATACGGCAGCCTGATCCACAGAGGTGGCCT